GCTTTCCACACTCGCGGCTGTCCCGGGGAGGGTAGCACGGTGCCCCGTCCTCACGCCGCTCTCCGTCAGGCGGTGAAACCTCACGGCCAAAGCAGCTGATGGAGGGGGCTGGGTTTCCAGGGTCCCAGTGCCCGTGCACAGGTGTCTGCGACTCAGATCCCCCGTTCTCCTCCGTGAGGAGCTCCAAGCCTGTCCGTCAGACCTCGGGGAGCACCGGGCGGGCGGCATGGGGGACCTGCCCAAGTCCCGGTGAGCCCGGCAGCAGGGCCTCGACCTGAAGCCTGTCTCTGAACCCCTGGGCTGTGCACCCATTGTGTGTGCCAGGCCCCAACGTGCCGGCTCCCCGTTGCAAACATGCTGCGATGGAAACTAGTATGTGGGGATGGGCCGTGCAGACGCCCAGAGCAGCGGGGATTAAAAGGGGACTCGGTAACCACTTTATCAGAGAAAATGTCTGTGTGAGAGCAAACAGGAAGCCGTTGGGGGAAGGCGGGAGCTGTGTGACCTTGATGTGAGTGGAGGAAGGAGGTCCCGAGGCAGGGGGCAGGCGCCCTGATTGCAGAGGCCCCGGGGGGCGGGGGAGGGGGGTACACACAGCACGTGGGGTCCTGCCCTGATTGCAGAGGCCCCGGGGGGGCAGGAGGGGTACGCACAGCACGTGGGGTCCTGGGGCCAAATGCGGCATCAGAGGAGACCCCGTCCTCGTCCCACAGGAACAGCCCCTCTCTCCTGACGAGGACCAGCCTCCTGGCCCGGCCTCTGCACACATGTGGGGACAGAGGTCGGAGGCTGGACGTGCGGCCTCGCCAACCACGCTGCCCTGGGGGGGGGGGGCGGCCTATGAGGACCACACGAGCCTGTCCCATAGTCTCTTCACATGAGAGTCAGCACAAACATGATGAGCAGCTAGGAACTGTCCCCCAGCCCCCGTGAGACACCGGGGCAGGAGGCCGTCATCCCTGGGTAAGTCAGGGCCTCTCCGGAGAAACACACACAAGGGGCCAGACATGGACAGACAGACAGATAGACAGGTAGACGACAGATAGATACGTAGACGTATACATAGATTAGACCGTAGGTAGGTCAGCAGATACATAGATGCATAGATACGTGACGGACAGACCAGACTGAGAACAGCTGGGGTGCCCAGGGACAAGGCATTGTGGGCAGAAGACGGCAGGGGACCGGGCACAGGGCGACGGTAACGCGCCTGCTGGGACACATCAGTGCTGGCGGCACAGCGACC